GTTCATTACTACTCACACCACTGGCTATCTGTCATCCATTCTGACTTCAGCAGCCCTTCTGACTAGATGACTCATCTGACTTGTGTTTGGACCACAAGTAATGATTATTTCTTGCATTTTAATTACATTTAATACAGAGCACTCAACAGAAGTGATTAAGCCTTATTAAAGCAAGAAGATGCAGCAGACACAGATAACACACAGCCTATGCCTGCAGTGCCTCCTGACCCTGAGTGGGGAACTCAGAGCTCAAAAAATGAGAAGATCTCTCAAGGCACAGCTTGGTCTTAACACAGGGATAAAAGAACACATCAAGGATCAGGATTATTAGATGAAGCAAGCCCCAGAGATGCACTGGGATAGGTAAACAGAAGTGGAATTTCTTCTATTTTGACAGGTAATTCTGACACTCACAGGGAATTTAGCTTGTACATGCTGCTATACATTAAGAATCTTGATTTGCAAATTACTTATTTATTTTACTTGAATCCTATTAAGTTGATTTTATTGTCTTTAATAGCAAGAATGCAGTAGAAGAGGGCAAATCATAGATGTTTTCCCAGAATAACACACTGATTTGGAAGCAGCAGAAAGGTTTTGCTTTTTACCTGCATGGCAATGGCTTTGTACACAGAATATGTTCGACAAAGCACTTCTGCTCTGCACGCAGCTCTTGTAAACTATCTTTGTCTTCTTCATCTGCAAGGAAGAGATCTGTTGGAATGCACAGCATCCACCTTGCAGGGTAAGGCATTCTCAGTATTCCCCAAATACCCCCTGCTTGCTGCTAAGAAAACATTGGTGTTCAGACATCAGCCGTTTCCCTGTACGCACAACAGTCTCACCCTCACCTGAGTCAAGGAACTTCTGCAGTTTGCTGATCCACGTCAACCCCACGCTGTGCACACCCGCTTCATGTGTGCAGTGGTATCTGGTAGGGCATTTGGGATCTGAAATTTAAACAGCAAACGGAGCATAAAGCACTGCAGAGAAAAACTCATTCTGCAAGCCTGCACAGTGCTCAATGCGTGTATTGGCCTATTGTCCAACTCACTGCAGTAGTGCCTGTTCAAAGTCTGAGCTGCATGCATTAGCCACAGAATTAGAATGCTGCACGTAGATCGAATGCATTTGCAGCATCTGTAAATACACTCTTCAGGAATTAATTAGAATTAGTTGCATTATACAATATCTGACTCTATCCATCAGGCTTCAAAGGAAGACCAGTTAATGCCAGCAGACCAGCTTCTTTGTCCTTCCCATCCTCCTGCCCTACATCAGCACCAGCTGACAGGCTCATAAACAGGCACCAACACTTCCCAGCATCACCACCCACAGCTGTACCACTTTGCTTACATGCACAGATTACCACAGCTGCAACAACTTCTGCTTTCTAATCCACAGCTGAGAGTTTTCTATTACATATGTGCCCCTGCCTCTAAATAGCCTTGTGACAATTCCCCTGTGACTGTGCACATTTTCCACAGCTTTAAGACATCAAGCAAAT